CTACCCATGGCTTATACATACATGCAAATAAGCGATTTGGTTCATCTCTCCAGCTGGGTTCATCTCTCCCTTCCTCTGAGATTCTGTTTGGTGCTTATGTGTCTCTGGACCTATTTGTTGGTCAGTTTATTTTGTTCATTAGATTCCACATATAAGTGGCATCATGTGATATTTGTCTTTCTCTGACTGGCATATTTCGCTTTGCAGCACAATCCCTCCCGTCCCTGTATGGCTATGCTGTCTCAAAGGATAATGGAAGTATTATTTTTGAGCAAATGTGGTTTTAACAAAATGCCTTCTGGTCTCTCTTTGCCTTAGGAATTAGGAGCTGTGGTTTCAGTCTTCTGAAGGTTCACTGCTCTTGATTTTATCTGCCCGTTTGCCCTAAAGGGACAGGTGAAGTTCAGTTTTTAACCCATTTGAAAAAAGTGAGCCTCTGGGAGAGGATGGGACAGGAAAGCCCCATCTACTCAAAATTCTTCTGGGGGTTAGACATTCAGAAGAAGAAATCACTCTGAGGGTAGCAATATCGCTGAAATAAACGATATCCTAAGGATTTCCTTTGAAATCTGCAGATGCCCGTTCTGCCTGAGAGAGAGCGGAGGTTTATGGTGTCAACTTCATGGTGGGCTGAGCAAACAGAGTGTGGTTAACGTGACAGAAGATGATGGAAGTTTCAGTCAAAGACAGACCACATATACCATGGTGTCTGATAATCTTATAATCTTAAGATTATACTGGACTATAAGCAAATGTTTGCGATATTGAAAGTATTGAATTTGCTGCTACCTCTACGTGCTTTAAATAGACCAGGAAGGTCGGCATGCTGTCCACACAGCTTGCTGGCAGCTGGGCCAAGGGACTATCTAGGAAGGAGGAGGAATAGGCTGGGGAGGAGGGGTACCTAGGAGCCTGCTCCATGCACGCCTGCCCACAAACGGACATGCACACACACACACGCACACACACGCACACACACATGCACATACACCCTTGTGCACAAACTCATTTCCCTTCTTTCCCCTCCCTCCCTTTCTTCCTCTCTCTCCTTTTTCTATCCTCCCACTCCTCTCCCTCTCCCTTTCATTATTTCGCTTCTTAAGCTTTACCTCTCTGGGTCTCTGGATCTCTGCTCTCCTTTTTCCCCTCCCCTTCTCTTCCTTCTTGCTCTCTCCCTCACTCCCTCTGTCCTGATGTCTACTCCTCTCAGCGCCTGCCTTCACAGCCCTCCCCTTGCATCCCCAGTGGGTGCAAGTGTGCTCGCACAGCCTTTACTGTATCTTTTCTTTTTAGATACACAAATGATATTGTGTTACAATTGCCTACAATATTTAGTATAGTAAATGGCTGCACAAGCTTGTAGCCTGGGAGCAACTGGCGGACCACTGGTGGTCCGTGAGGTCCGAAAGGTTGGCGACTGCTGGGCTAGACAATATAACCCATGTGTGGAGTAGGCTATCCCATCTAGTTGGTGTTAGCACTCCATGATGTAAGCACCATGATCAAATGGCCTAAAGACGCGTCTCTCATAATGTGCCTCCATTGGCAAGTGAAGCATGACCGAAACAGAATGAAAGGTAAAATTTGGAATTGTCGTAAGGCCATGGTATCTTCATATTTGTGTCCACTTATCTGAGCAAAGTGTCCAGCCTGCTGTGGTAAGAGCTCAATAAATATGTATTGAATACATCAATTACATAAATTAATAACATGTCAAGAACTTTAAATCTAATTAATGAGTAACCGTTGCATATGTTTCTAATAGAGAGACCTCTGGGAGTTGATTTTTAATCAAGTAATATTTGGCCTGAATTTCAAATTTATAAAAGGCCAAAGATAATTTAGTATTCTGAGCAAATGAGTTGCCCTTCTTAGTAGTTTGAGATATATATTATTCATTAAAGAAAACCCTAGACTCTCCACCCTCCTCCACTGGGGGACAGAGAGAGAGAGAGAGAGAGAGAGAGAGAGAGCGCGCTATTTGAGTTATTTTGACTTAAGTTCGGCCAAATATTAGGATCACTGACTGGCCCTAACCAGTTTGGCTGAGTGGATAGAGCGTCGGCCTGTGGACTGAAGGGTCCCAGGTTCAATTGTGGTCAAGGGCATGTACCTTGGCCGCATTTCTCTCTCATCAATGTTTCTAGCTCTCTACCCCTCTCCCTTCCTCTCTGTAAAAAATCAATAAAATATATTTTATAAAAAAAAGATCACCAACTGACTTAACAGAGAACAAACATTAGTTCTTACTGTGGTTAGGGGCAAAGTGTGATTTACAGACAGCATATGTTATACCTATTAAACTATATTGTAATTGCTACAGCAATATGTTGACTATCTTCAGTAGGACCCCAAAGCTTATACTGCTAGGGTTTATATTTTGGGGGAATGTACTGTTCCCCCAGCCTTGGTTAAATTCTCCAGGCTCACAAAAATTTCTATCACAAAGAAAAGTCCATGTTCATACATGAATTTCAGGTAAGCATATTGAGCTACAGATTTTCCCTCAGGGAACATTGGCATGGAACGCATGACAGTACTTTCCCATCATAGAACTCTACAGTAATGTAGATTTCAGGATAGAAGCATGCAGTATTTTTTTAATAATGTTTCCCAGGAGATTTTCCCAGGGACTTGGAGACCTACACTGCCCTTCGGGGGCCACCACGTTTTCTAATACCGCATACTCTCAGCCAAAGTTCCTTTCGATCAGTTGAGCATGTCCTGAGAAACAAAACAACTAGTTGTACTTCCAGTGCTGTAAAAAAGGATGACATCATTGCTAAGATTTAAAGAACTGTAACACAGCGCCATTCTTTTCATTTGTTTAGAGGAGAAACCAATAATGGTGATTTCCTTTTCTCACTGTACCCACTTCATTAAATTAGTCATTTTCTCTAACTGTATTCATCGACTTAAGTTGGCCCTACATTAAACCAAAATGACGGATTCTTTAGTCATTCTTTTCATAGATAGATAAAAATCTTCAATGCTTTGAACTCATCTCTTTATTAAGTAAAAAAAATAAATAAAAATTTCGTATTTTGGTGGGTTTTGTTTTCCCAAGCCCCAAAGTTCAATTAGGGCTAACTAACAGCAACTTAAATAGCATTTTAACTCAATAGCCTTGGCTTGTAGGCTTCCAACGGGGGCCCTTCTAAAGTAAATCTTCCTTGGTTAACAGCTGTCAACTGTCAGTGAGCTAAAGGTAATTAAATTTGAAGATAGCTTTATGGCTCAGAAAAATAGATAAAAATCCTCAGACCAGAAAGGTCTTAAGTTAATGTAGTTATTGCTCCCTGTGGTATTTGAATTAATGCAAGAAATTGATTATTTTCTAACAAAACATTAAAGAGGAGAACGGCCATTGTTTGTTAATTGCAGGTAAAATTCAGTTGGGGCTGTTTTCCCTACTAAGATCACATTCTTGATTTCACTTCATTATAGATTAGGAAGAAAAGGGAAAAAGAAAAAAAAAGAGAAAGAAATCATGGTAGCAAGGGTGAGAAGGTGGTAGTCAGGGTCTTTGAACACTCAAAAGATGTATTAGCTGGTAAGGTTTCAACAACAGAAATGAAAACTTCAAGGTGCCTAAGAAATACAAGAATTTTTTTTTAATTTTACATAACAGCAGTAGTTCAGTTAAAGCACAGTTCCAGGGGAGTTCAGAGATTAAGTGCTTTTTTAAAGAACTGAGCTTTTCCCCCCTAAATTCCTG